TGACCCAAACCATCAACAAGCACTTGATGCATCATGTAAGTCAAGACAAAAGAACAAGGTCCACTTTGACAAACGAAACAAAGCCAAATCCTCTGAATTCAAAGTCGGTGATGCAGTCCTGCTGAGAAACTCAAAGAAAGGTAAATTGCAGACCCCTTATGAACATCAGAAATACCAAATTGTTAAGAAGAAAGCTAGATCGATGATTACAGCGTCAAATGACAATCGCCAAGTCACTCGGAACTCGTCACATTTTAAAAAGTTTAAAGAAAAGAAAGGTGAAACAGATAACCCAGCAGATAAAGAAGAACAGCCGAGCAAGCAGAACACCAATGAACGCCCGAAAAGGAAAACAAAACCACCAGCCTACTTTGGCTATAAACAGTCAGATAAGTAAAACATTTATAATGAACTTTAATTGTCTAAGAAGTCATCATAAATGAACTTTAAAATAAGACATAGGAACTTTCAGGTTGATATAATGATATTAGTTAATCACAAACAGTTATAGTGAATGCAAAAACTAAAGGTTTAAAGGGATGTAATGACGTAATAGTTACATCATGCTTTACGAGCATGCGCACTTGTAAGATAGAAGCTAGACATGTGTTTATGCATCGAAGGAGTACTATATTACAGCAAGTTAGCAACTATTTGCCACGTTTACTGTAATACTACCACTTGCAAGTGATGAACCAGGCGGGAATCGTAATCGTAGTATAAAGATTAATGCTCAGCCGCATAACGTACGCAAAAGAGACATATATATATATATATATATATATATATAGACAATAATATAGACATAAATATATACATAAAGTAATACTATATATAGATTATCATAAAGTAATCAGTACTACCAATTAATAATGCATGTATCATACATTCGTATTTTATAAAGTATGATGACTATGAGAGTTTTCGTGTTCACCACTATGGCTGAAACATTTATGAAAAGCTAAAACTGACACAGACGTCAGACAAAATACATTGTAAACACAGCCTATTTAGGCAGGCGCTAAACCGGTGTAAACTATTATGCAAAGATGAACAATACCGTCACTGTTAGTACTATCACAGGCTGCCCATTCTCTGAACGTCCTATATATTTTGAATATTTAACCGTTATAATATTTTAAAATAACAAAATAATTCAAAAAATATTAACAATATATGTAAAAAATATATCTCACTTGTTAATAGAATCCATTTGTTGTGTTTCTGAGTTTAGTTGATGCGATTGCTTTACGTTTTCGTCGCACTTGAACGGTCGTCAGTACTACGAAATTGATTCTATTGAATTTTAGTTCTTTTTTTTTCCATTCACAGTGAGTATAACTGACCTCTACTTATCCAGTAATGGCGAAGCGAATCTTTTTTCTAACAAATACGAAAAACGAAACAAATCCGAAACAAATACGACCCCAACTGCCCACGCTGTCGGATTCATTTTTCACACAGGAGGCCGGTGGAGTCTGGCCTTTACACCATCGACGTTTTTGTGCTCACTGCATGCAGTATGCTTTTATTAACGAAGTTTGTACCAGTAACACCATAGAATATATAATCGACCAGAAGTCTCACTGTACACCTTTCCTTAACATTTTCGTGTCCGCGATTTTCGCCTTGCGGATCACGAATTTCGCACGCTAGATGACGTGTGTGACACTTGCTGCGAACATCACGTCAGCGTTCGTCAGCAAAACGGTTAAAACAGCAATCTTTATTACCTGGTAATGGCAATTGATGGCGTAATTGCTCGCCGGTTTGATGGCGTGGATTACACTTGCTGGCTAGCGCCTGCGCATAAAAAATCTCGGACACAATTTTGGCTGAGTGAGGCTTCTGGTCTTATTTTCTATTCTGTGGTAACACCCTTCAAAAACACAAATTAAATTTAAAAACATTTAAATCACAGGTTTGCTTACGCGAGATGACGCCACTTCGATCACAGTAGTGATGGGCGATACTATCGAAAAAGTTCGAAATCATCGATACTTACAAAAGTATCGATACTTTCGATACTCGTAAAAAGTATTGGCAATTCGATACCACTTGAGCCTGCGATGTTTTTGGTCAGTATTGCTGAACAATCGCGAAATACTTCATGAAGGCAACAGACTGAAAACCCTTGAAGGCAAAAAATGTTGACATGATGCTGTTCACATGTAGCTAATTAGCAATATATTTTAGGAAAACATTGGTGTTTGGATTTAAAATCATAATTGCAAATGTTATGTTCGATTATTTGGCAGGTACTCCAGTTAGAGTATTCTTTGACTTGTTTTAAACATAAAGGGAGCATTATTTTTTTAGCTGGGGGGGGGGGCGGAGGAATTTGGGGGTGGGTCAGCCAATTTTGACATGCTTCAAAGGGGTGGGTCTTTTTATAGTTTTGTTATAAATGGAGGGGGTCATAAAAATAATCAGTGAAAAAATCACCAATATGATTTTATTGAATTTGGAAATATTTGGATCAAGAATGGTAAAAAGGTCTAGAATCTATCAACTATCTCGTCATCTATAACAATGAAGCAAAATTCATTTGACGCTCTGTTCACACAGTCCATAGGAAAACATTTCCATGACGTTTGTCAATTGACCTCGTTTTTATCCGTTTTTGTGTGAAAACATCAATGAAAGAAAACGCATGACCGTAGCATGATTTCAAAATCATGCATGATTTCAAGGTCTGCATGACTTCAAAATCATGCAGAACTTGATCAATTTTAAGCTTTATTAATTTTAAGCGGCTACATTATCCATGCCAAACTGCAAAGAATGAAGATAGTACCCACAGTTTCCTGCAACTTATCCTAGTTATCCAACATATAGTAAATTAAATATGCTTCGCCCATTTAGTACTACCAAATTGTCAATTTTGATATACTAAAACGCTGTTTTCTGACCATCAGAATTCTGTGAAATCTTCCCCCAAAGGCCAGGAAATGGCATTTCAGAGACTCCAGATTTAAACATTTCCTCGGGCCTTCGGCCCTCAATTTCAGCCCCTCCCCCAATCAAAAAGAGCTTCCTACGGCCCTCAAACGCTATGGAAACGACACCGTGTGGATTAATAGTTAGGATGAGGGGTCAAAAAATTTTCAGTAAAAAAAATAGGGAGTCATAATTTTTTATCAACTTTTGTCTTGGGGGTTCCAAGTTTTCGCATGGAATTAGACATCAGTTCCTCCGGCCCAACCCCAGCTAAAAAATGAATGCTCCCTAATGTTCTTGTTTTAAAAGTTATTTTAATAATGGAAAAAATTGAGTATCGGTATCGATTTTGGTATCGGTATCGACCAAAATTCGTGGTATCGGACTGGTATCGTATCGAAACCAAAAAAGCTGGTATCGCCCATCACTAGATCACAGTAACTTTCATAGTGTATTAACGAGTGTATCTAAAAGTCGAGAGTCGAGAGTATAGGTCGACAGTCGAGAGTAAAAGTCGAGAGTCGAGAGTAAAAGTCGAGAGTCAAGAGTAAAAGTCGAGAGTCGAGAGTAAAAAGTCGAGAGTCGAGAGTAAAAAGTCGAGAGTCGAGAGTAAAAAGTCGAGAGTCGATCGAGAGTAAAAAGTCGAGAGTCGGCAAATGTCATCAGAAACAAAGTCAAAATATTTTTATTTTTTAACCACGTTTAACACAATCTATATATATATAGCTTTACATAGCCATTCCGTAACAAGTACCAACGGCTGAAATACAAACTTTCCATTGCTAGTATTTGCTACAACAGTCAATAATTAGTGGCGGAAATTCACTTTTTCCGGGGGGGGCAAAGCCTCCTAAATTTCCGACAAAACTTTGAAATTTCCGACGTACCCCCCCCCCATTTGCACTCGAAAAGACTGTTTTTAGCCCTCTTTTAGATCAAAATTTCCGAAAATTCGTCAATTTTCCGGAAGGTGGGGGGGGGGGGGCGGGGGCGGTCGCCCTCCCGCCCCACCAAGATTTCCGCCACTGTCAATAATAATAACGTGATAACAAAAACAGAAAAGATTGGAAGTATTGGATAAGAAAATAATATCGCATTTGATGCCTCAAACTTGCTACATGTTTTCACATGTCATTTCATTCTAAGTGATGATAAACTTCACTGAATTTTGACAGCCATCTCCAGGCTTGTAACTAAAATGTCACTTATTCATTAACATACGTTTATATCAAACGAGAGCGTATTAAGAAATCCACGTTGATCACAATCTAACGATTCATACAATTGTGAATTCATAGATACGAGCCAGTGAAAATAGGATTCTTTTGTCGTATGTGCGACTCTATCGGGTGGTAATATGTCTCGCACGTGATTGTAAAGTCCTAGTATTTATATGTAGCTTCACATATGAGTAATTTTTCGCGGAAATAGGTGCATGTAAAGCGGGAAGGATGGATAGTAATATATAAGGAAGCGATAAAACTAGTTATTAGATAATAGTTATTTGATTATTGAATGTTGTGGCTAAATTTTTGCGAAAGTTTTTGTTTTATATTGTACTGGATTATTCCTTTGATTGCATGTATATGCCTCTTGTTTACTTTAATTTCGAGAATTTGAGCATACTAAATTATGTTTCGCAAATATTGTTTGCTTTATGTTCCGATACACGGGAAATGAAATTAGTTCAGCCGTCATAGGCGTACGGGCGGGAAAAAATCAGGTAGGGAGCCAGAAAGAAATTTACCCGACTTTTGCCCACTGAATAAAATTTTCCGTGTAACTAAATTTCCAAAATTGTCGTTGGGAAGTAGACAAAAATATTTTCCTATTTGTCGATTCCTCGTTACTTTTACATATTTCTGGT